AAAAGCATCTTTCAGGAGCTGCGGTGTTTTGAGAAATGTGGCTTTTGTCCAGCTACCTAGGGGCCTAATTGAAGGAGAAATATTGTCCCCTATGTGCTGCCTGGTGATCACAGGTATCCCATCTTTTAAAGTCCATGTATTGAGACTGGGACTGCTGAGGAGCCAAATCACTGAGGAAGTGACACCTTCTACCAAGACGTGCAATTGAATAAGCCAGTTATCCCCAATGGGGGAGACAGGTTTCTCCTTTGTGACTAATTACTGCATGTATAAAGAAGTCGGAAAGGCAAAAAAATTGAATATGCTGACATATCTCTCACCCTCAAACACACACCTCCTATTTCTGTCTGTTACCCACAGAGACATAAGAACTTAGGCAGCATCCAACGATCATGGTGCATTAAGAAATTGTCAATTATAAAGAAAATTGGTGTCAAGAGACCAAATCAACTGAAGAAATTGCCTCTGTCTATCAAATAGAGGATTCTCTACGATGTGATTCTAAGTCGCCTGGAGGCAAGAGGCACTAAACTCTCACTCTCGTTGGCAGCACAGTACTTCTCCAGCTCTTCGTACAGGGATAATCCACTTATTAGTTGTATAATGTGCTGTAAAAAGATGTTTGGGTACGCTTCAGATGATGCCAATTCAACAGTTGTGGAACCAATAAAACTCTTACTTGGTATGTATAGCAGGAATACATATCATTATGATCAAAGAAGATGGGAAGCTAGGGGATGAGAGGGTAACTTTCTTTTTTTGGTTAGAAAAGCCAGAGCAACGACACAAAGCCGTTTGAAAATGGGCAAAGATTCCCTTTAATGAGTGCCTCTTTTATAAACAGTACCATTATTACTGGGATAGAAAGAATAGAGTAACAATAACAATATTGCAATTAAACTGTTTATGGTACATTTTCTTTAAAATATATATACTTTTAAAAAAAAGGAATTTACTTTGGGAAATTAAATTGCTTAAAAATAAACGATCAACATTATATATACAGTGTATGTACATTATATTTTGTAAGGAATAAAGCATGAGACTGCAGTCTCAAAAGTCTCATTTATTTTAAGCAATTTATTTCCCAAAGAAAATTATTATTATAGAAAAAGAAGAAAAGGATACATCTAGATCAGCTAATAGTTACAGTATGTGTATGATTTAATAAAATAATGATAAAATACTGGGAAAAGTAAACAGTAATGTAGTTTTAGGATCCTAGGTTGGATCTTTTCCTAAATCAAAACCAGCATTATAGAAGTGGAAGAGCCATTTTATCCTGTCAAATCATTAGACCATAAATAATTGAGGTGCTAAAACAATTAATTTTACTTTACCAACTCTATGGGCACAAAGTAACAAGAATAGCGTGGTGAGCTGGTCCACGAACCCAATCTATATTATTATCAAGTTCTCAAACAGATTTGTCTCCTAAGTGAATGTGCCACATGCTTTAAGACACAGCTTTAGTACAATGACAGTAAATACATTACATTACATGTCACTTGTTAGACGCTTTTATCCTAAGCGACTAACATACTGAATACTGTGGGCAATTTGGGGTGAAGTGCCTTGCCCAGCGACACAACGACATGCTGACTGCAGTGGGGTTTGAACCTGTGCTCCCCTGATCCGAACACCAACGGACAACCCACTGCACCACACGCCTCCCTCGACAAATACATCTGTTGGCTGGCTGTCTGTACCGTGTAATTCCCTTATAAACTGGGTAATTTAAAAAGTAATCACAGGTTTATTTCTCTCCAGGACCGCCCCCACATTGTGATTTATCGACACATTTATTCCCTGTACTTGTTCTGCTGTATCCACTGTACCCAGTAAGTATCGTAATGCATGCTCCGTATCTGCAGAATGTTTTATTTGCTGGCTGTAATCCAAAGCCTAACCAGATGCTCTAACCAATTTAAAACATCAATTATGTTTATGTGCTGTACATATATTGTCCTGGCAGATTTACTGTTGTGCATCATGTGTGTAAGCGAGCCTTATTGAGCTCCACCTGTGGTGATTTCTGTCTAATGGTGTATGACAGCCTGTGGACAGGGAGGAACTGGCCAGCAACCCCTCGTGTTATTGTGCAGCTAATTGTGTTTAGAATTCAATACTGAGGATTCATTTCCTGTAAACCAACGTGTGCCATCTAAATGTTTAAATGAATCAAAACCTTGGCTGGTATTTTTCGACTGAATGGGGACTTCCTTTAATCAGATTTAATATTGCGCTGATAGACTTTCCACATTTTGCATCAGCGTGCTGTGAATTCAGATGAACTTATTTCCAATCTCTACGCCAGTCTTATGCAGGTCTAAGTGTGCCTCTATGTCATTTAATGTTTCTTCACCTCTGTGGAGAATACCTGCTCCGAGAGGGACTGACCTTCACAGATATTAGAAATAAGACTCCTGTATAATCGAGATCAGAGTGAGACGCCCATTCCCTGCAGAGGCATAATTACTGCAAATTACATCAGACTGGGTGGTGATTTTAACTTAACCTGTCACATACATGCACACAGAACTGCCATTTAAGGTTAAGTCATAATCGATTAATCTGTTGAGAATGTATTAATTACCTAATAAGGTCTATTTAAATATCAGGAAATCGTGAACAATACCCACGACCATTCCTCAGAATCTAAGTGGATAAAGATCTTGTTTTGTCAAACCAATATTTAAATGTTAGAAGAATCCATTGGCCACCACTTGGATCCAGAGTTAATTATCTTAATAACAACTAAATGGATTGACATTCACTTTTTGACAGAAATTAATGGCTACCATTTATCCCTATTCCTTTGGTTATCTAATGTTTTATCCTCTAGCGCTACAATGAGGTTTCCACTTGTTGTTTTTCTCAACAGCTATTGAATCGATTGCCTTTAAATGTTGTACAAATGGTCATATTCCTCTTCAGGATGATGGCGATACATTAACACTTTCATCATCAGGTCACAATGTAGGTCTCTCGGATGGTTTGATTCCTCTTAAGCCTTGTTTGTAATTTGTGCTTAGTGTTAATGATGATGAACAAGAAAAAACATTATAACTGCTAAACATCAGCATGTTAGCATTTTCCTTCTGGGCATGTTAGCCCTAGCTTTGCTAATTACTCAAAAAAAATTCCTGTCAATCGGCTAATCAATGAACTATTGATCTCAGCTCTAATATAATCATTCAGATAAAATAGCGTGTACACAACACATTTTTTTGTTGCCTGTGTGGTTACCAAATTCACCCTCAATCTCTCTTGAGAAAAGCAACAACAAACACACTTTCCACAAACAAAACCTCAGATCTATAATGTTTAATTTAAGCCTGCTGCACCTCCGGAGCAGATAAAAGATCAGATAGTAGTCAAGATGAGTGCTGGGGATGAAAACAAATCAATGGATGACTCCTTGAGTTTAATAAAGCACATACAAACCTCAGACATTTAATTAAAATAAATGACCGATGTGGATCAGGTTGGTAGCCGTCTCAGGGAAACACATCACGGCTGCATGTCACGCCCCGGCTGTGAGCTCCATCTCAGGAGGTTTAAAAATTGACACAGATGACGCAGTGAAGTGGGGGGGATATGAGACTGGAGACCTCTATAAAGATAACATCAAATCTGAGGAAATATATCCCTTTCTCTTGTTCGTCTGTTTATTACCTGTGTATTTCATCGCCGAAAGCATATTGATTGTGTGTAAAAAAAATGAAATGGAGATTCCCTTCTGCTCTCACTTTCACGCCCGTTTTATCAATTAATGTCTGCTCAGAATTATGTAATTATAAAATAGAGCCGGAAAACTGGAAATGTTGAAACGACACAGGTGGCACCTCATACACATTCACAGGCATTAACAGTGGAGAGGATTAGAAAGTGCTAGATTTCCCATGATGGTTGCTCACCCACCATTTCTGATCTTTATTGCCGATCTAATAAAGTCTGAGGGCAGGCAAACTCATAATTAGCTCCCCTGGACTATAAGCCATATACTTAGTGGGAAGCAGAATACCATTCACTGCCCTTGGGAAGGCTGAGGAGAGATAGAGGGCAGCAATAAATGAACAATGAAGATTAGAATAGGGCATTATAATGTATGGTAGGCACTCAATATCATTTCAAAACGGGCGGCGAGTGAGCCTAGACTCTTTCATTGTACATTTCCTTTATAAATTAGCAGTCTTTGGTAAATGTTCCTTTATGCTTTTTTTTAACGACATGGTCCGCAGAGATCAAGGGTGGAATTTGACATTTCCTCACTGACTGTAATACAGGAAAATGTTCACTACCTTTATCTGAAATGAATAGTGACTAGATACTTTATATTTTTAAACCAGCAACAACAGCAAGTTGCTTATACAGTTAGGCATCATATTTCATATGAATGCATCAACAAAAATGTATCAGTCAAAATGTAAATTTGGATGAATTATACATACATTTACTTTTAAGGGATATTTGATTGGATTATATATTTTTTGTAGATTGTGACTTATTTTTTGTACATGCGTTTCTGTTTTTCCTATGCTGGGTAGGATAAACACATGTTCATGCATCGGCATGGCAATAAAGATTATTCAATTTTGTTCTATGGTTAAGGTATTTGAATAGATAGACAGGATCATTTGTACATTATAGTATTGCTACATTTACTTAAATAATGGATCTGAATGCATCTTCCACTCATGGCAAACTCAGCCTAACACAAAGTAGATTAGATAGCGATTTAATCTTTTAATGAAAGTGTAGAAAATGTAGCAGTAATGGTAGTGTGAATAACTTACAGGGACTTTCTCACTCTCCTTAAAGACTTTCCAAGCAATAATGCATGTATAAAACATGGGCACCTATGTTCTCTACAGCTCCAGCCCCTCTCTCGGGGGTCAGACTGGTGCACACACTCTCCCCCAAAAGGTGGGAGGAGCATGTTGCACTGGGACCCCGCGCGATGCAGCAGTCCCGTCAAAACCTCCAGGTCCTCTTCGCGCGAGCCGTACCACTCGTGCCAGTTTGGAATCACTTACAACCGCGTCGCTTGGATTAAAACGAGTCTCATAAAACCCATCAAACATGACCGAAGGTAGTTGGAGACAGAGCGCAGGAGCGACATAGGTAAGGCAGCGTTCTGGATGCTACAATATCATCAGTTTAAGAGGTTTTTTAGATACAAATGTGAAAACTACTAAATGAAATGTCTTTTGTCTTTTTCTGCTTGTGCGTAATGGATGCCTTTGGGAGCAGAAGTATTTGGTTCAGGTGCGTCAATTATAGCCCTAATTTAATAGAGAATAGTAACACATAATTATTTAAATGATATTAAAATGTGCAGCGTGATTTTCATAATGAAAATCAACTTTTTTTTAAAACTCCATACATAAACACCCTACAGCTGCTAGGTGGGCTACAACATTTGCCATCTTTGCAAAGCATACATCTGAATTGTCTATTTAAGGTTTATTTTCTTTCCCTAAAATACAACTTGTGCGTAATTTGATATCTTAAGCATTCTGCACAAAAGACAGCTCCTTTAGCGACTTAATTCACTTTATATTTTGCAGGACAAACGAGGGTCTTGCTCGCAATTATGATGCATCTCACAGCAGTGGTCTTAATTCTGGTCGTGACAGGCATCGCCAAAGGTAAATCTGAAATGTTGAAAAAAGATGCCCAATTGAGTCGTAACGACAAACTCATTTTCTGAGTCGATAGACTCTCCTCATAGAATAAAAAGTATAATGGATGAATATTTTATTGCCAGTAGTGTTTTCTGTTTTGATGCAAACTGCGGCTGTCCCTTTGTTTCTTTCTCAAAGGTTGGGAATGCAACGCTGGGTGCACAGAAAATGGGTTTTGTGAGAAGCTCGGGAAGTGCAGGTACTAAAACGACTATAGATTCCGTTGTAGATGATAGACTATGTCCTTAGGGCTTTTGCAACCTTATTTCCATTGATGGAGATGTGAATGTTCCTCCCTTAGAGAAACGCAATCCACACAATCCAGCCAACTAGAACCCTGCGTTTCTTTCTTGTAGATATGTTTGGCACCTATGTTGTGTTTATTCATCTGCCAAATCAGCCCTTTGTTTCAACAGTAAAAAGCACTGTTATCCTAACAAACAGCTCAAAAGCTTCTGTCTGAAAACCATGCCCAGTCTGTAATGTTTTTTTTCTTTCTGGCAAATGCTACTATATCTACTTTTGGGCCAAAATAACAATTTCATCTGTTTTTTAAAGGCATTTAACCAATTAGTGCACTATGCCGAAACATGACATTAATCTATCATTACACCTTTAAAAGGCATGAATTACATTACATCTTGATTAGCTGACCCTTGTATCCAAAGTGACTTACAATAAGTGCAATAAACAAAGAGGTTACAGCTCTGTGGGTGGTATATTTATAGCTCAGGATTGCTCTCCTTTCTCCTATTTTAGGTGCAAACCGGGGTGGCAAGGAGAGAACTGTGACCGGTGCGTGCCCTTCCCCGGCTGTCTGCACGGCACATGTGAGAAGGCATGGCAGTGTGTCTGTGAGGAGGGCTGGGTGGGCAGCCTGTGTGACCAAGGTGAGTCTCATTAAGCTCCCCTGATACTCATATCTCTGCTCCTAACACCCACTGACATCCCAGAGGTCAGGGTGAGCCACATGGCCCCAGGGACACACTGGTTAACACTGAATGAGGTCTGTGTCTGGGATGTATTCCACCGTATTTTTAGACGGGCAACATTTATAATTTATAATAATGAAGAATGTGGTAGGGCAGTGGTGGCGAAGTAGATAGGGAGTTGGCTTGGCAACTGGAAGGTCACCAGTTCAAGTCCAGGCAAGACCAAGTGCTACCGAGCAAGGCACCGTTCCCTACACTGCTCCCCGGGTGCCGTTCAAAATGGCAGCACACTGCTCCTAACACTAGGATGGGTCAAATGCAGAGAAACTATTTCCCCACGAGGGATTAATAAAAGTCCATCTTATCTTAAGAATATGCAACAAAATAACTGAAACGTTTAGCTAATGAGCAAGAAACATGCAATTTAAAAAATGATGACGCTGCAGAGATTTAAAATTCACAAGTTACATTCCCACTTGACACACCGATTTAAAACCACTTAAGCAATTATTCTTTTAGCATCTGTGATTAACTTTATTGCATGGAAAATTACTTTCTGCCCCTCGAGTGATAGAAGAAACAAAGATAGAACAGAGAGATATTTCTTGCTTCTGGCTCAGTTTGACCTCCTTATCAGCACACAAAGTACATCTCTTATTCTGTTGGAGCATATGAGCTGCTTTGCTGTGCAACATGGTCGGTTATGTTCTCAATTTTGTTCTCTGTGAAAAGATGCCGCGGTGGGGAGTGCAAGTGTGAGAATGGAAATAGCAGAGGAGGGAAAAACAGGCAGAGACTGGAAGTTGGAGCGAGAGCACACAAGATCTAAAAACAGCATGCTTGTTTTTTTCGCAACAGATATCCGCCTTTGCTCATCCAGGCCTTGTGCTGGTAATGCCACCTGCATAGAGACAGGAGAGGGGGGGTACCTGTGCATCTGTCCCCCCGGATACACCGGTGAAAACTGCCACCTGAAGGGAGGAATGTGTCTCACAAACAGGTACCAGCAGCTTTGAGGTTCTATTTTAGGAAAATGAACGCTCCAATAGAGCAATAATCAATATCTCTGTCTACAACGTCTGTCAGCTCACTTTGTAACGCAGAGGCAGCACATCAAAACCATCCCACACTGGGGTTTGTGTATACTGGTAGCAGGCGGTTAGTAAATAACATATGGCATGTTCTTTTGTTTTTAACTTTGCGACCAGTAGCCAGTTCAGATGTTGTAACTTCAAAGAGTCAAGTGGGTGTTTGCACATTTGTTAGACTAGCAGAGACGCTCAGTTTGACACAATTCCCACAGAGATGCTAAAGTGTGGGAACTGGCAAGGTGCCGACTTTTTGAATGGGGCTCCAGCTCATTATTTCTTGTTGCAAAGTCAACTTTACTTGGAGGACTAACTCTATTGGTGTTGAGCTCTGCAACTGAAAAAAATAACATATATTCAAGAAGACACTTGAAACAAGTGAACCAATTTGGGGAAAATTGACTACTTGAAAAATTACTTAATTTGTTCTCGTCAACATTGACATTTCTCTTTTTTAATAATTTACAAAGTCAATTTGTTAGCACTTTTCGGTGATTTACACATCCAGCAGTAACAGAGAAAAGTCCTGATTAATTTAAACGTGTGTTTTCCGGCAACTTGGAGGATGTAATTTCAATATTCACTCTCTTAGGTTGTTCCAATTAAAATGAATGATAATCTGAATGCAGCCCTGGCATCTGTTGGTACATTTATTTAAAGGGTCATTTGTAAGCGTCTGTATTTTTTTGGCCAGCTTTTCTTTCAGTCAGCAATTGCAAAACATTGTAAACAACAAAAGCAAAGTGCGTCTCTACTGGGCTTACATTACATTGCCAAAACAAACTTTCCTGCAGGCTTGAATTTTCAAACACATCCTTTGATGTAGAAAGGAAAGGGGCTTCATACTGTAGAGTTCGTTCTGCAGCTCCCGCCTGTCATAAATATACAGCGGCAGCCATGTGTATTGTGCTCTTCACCTTTATGAAGCAGCTGTTGATGTGACCATGGAGGGCATCACAAGCTGCATCACAATAATGAGATCCTTTGAAGTCATCGGGCATCACATTTCCAAAGCTTCTCTATTCAGTACCAGAAATGAATTCTTAATTTATCTAAAGAGGAGACAACTTATGTGATACTTCGCCGGTATCCCACAATCCACTGCTCCCCAGGCGTTGTTTAAGGATACATTTAGACAGTCCTTTCCTCCCAAATTATTACATTACCAATACCTTTACAAAGAAATTGCCCTCAGGTGGTGATATTGTGCTGAGGAGAAAAGTTGAATAAACTGCAGGAAGACATTGCAAATTGCACACTATGGCATCAGGTAAACTTCAGGGATGGTAAATTAGGCTTGGCATGTTAAAGCAGAGCCTCACAGATAAATACCAGTTATATAGATACAGAACATTTACTAGTACTAACCACAATGTGTGGCATGGCATCATTATGTAATATTGAACCATTGAAACTGTACGTCTAATTGAGCCATATTTACTGTTGACGTGTACTACTATTTATGCCATTGGAGAGCAGATTCCTGGAAATGTTTGACGTAATGAGTCGACGAGAAACACCTGAATGCACCGCTGGTTTTGTCCGGGGGACAAGGCGCTGGTTCAGCCAGGCCTTCTGTTGATCTCAAGACATCATTCTGAACAAAAAAAAAGGGTTTTGCTTCAGAGAAAACCTCCACAACAAAAGCAGTGCCTCATTCCTTTAAGCTCTAGAAATTGCCTCACCGCTTCTCTTTCAATGCTGAAAAACAGGCAAGCTTGAACTGTTCTGCTCCTGTCCATCAGATACACATGGAGGACTCTGTGGAGACACAGCAAGCTGACTTTGAACCCCACCATGTTTGTCCTCTGTCAGACAACCTGGTATTAAATAATACACTTAAAATGAAATTGCCTACAGCTCAATGTCATTGGCTTCTCTCCTTATCCTCTAAAAGAAAATAATATTTTCTCTTACTAAAGGTTTTAAAGTGCTATATAAATAAAGTTGGATTGGATTGGATACTACCATTTTACGAGATGTGTAGAGCCTCAATTGTATTCCAGGGAAATTCATCTCCATTAAAAAGGCCTATGTGAGGTTTCATTAATCAGCTCCTCTAAGAAACACCAGAGATGTCTGAAAAGTTTTCCAAAGCTATTACTCGTTTGACTCACAGACAGAATGTTAGGGACTTGTGTAATAATAAGAGCTGGTATTAGAGATATTGATTGTTTTCATCCCAGAGTTTTAATCTGTGCATTTAGTTTGTGAAGCATTAATCGGGTATGCTGTTCACCAACACTACAGCAGGGACTGCTTTTATATCCTGTTGTTATTATTATTACTGGTACAGATTTCTCATTTGCAGTAGATCAGATTAACACTGTTTTTCATTTGGGCTTGGAAAAATTACTGCAATCCAAATCACAATATTGATAAGTCTATTATTCTAGAGCTGAAACGAGCCACAGTGAATCGATAAATCAAGTCAAAATTTCAAGAAAGAACAAATATTTTAAAGATGAGTCAGCTCTAATGACTTGCTGCGTATGCTTGTCTCATGATTTATGAAATGGGATTGTTTTGGGTTTGAAAATATTTTCTTCGTTTTATTTTGACATCCAATAATTGTTGCCTCCGTTTCCCTTAACCCTTAGATGCATAAGTGGATCTTTTTTGACCCGGTGAGGTGGTTTTCTTAGAGTATCTTTGTCATCATCATTTCATATTCCAGCTATTCCTCAAAAAACATGTTTTGGATATCATGCCATTCAAATTTTTAATTTACATTTTAAGAAATTGTAGTTTTCGTATTACTACCCCAAGCTTCCATAAGTGGGTATTTTTTTGACACGGTGAGGTGGTATTCTTGAAGTATCTTTGTAATTACATTTTTCTATAATTTCATATTTCAGCTATTCCTCAAAAAACATGTTTTGGATATCATGCCATTCACATTTTTTATTTAAATTTTAAGAAATTGTAGTTTTTGTTTTACTACCCCAAGCTTCCATAAGAGGGTCAAAAATTACCCGCATGCATTTTCTATGGAATTTTGTTTTTTTTCCAAAATGTAAAAAATTTTATTAAATTATAAATAGTGAAAAATTCAATATAAAATATTTCTAGTGTGAACCAAAATGTAATACTGAATATTATACAAGTGATTTTTCTTAACCAAAATGACAAAAATGGCATAAAAACACATATTATTCTAATACGGGTCCTTTTTGACCCACTTATGGAAGAGTGTAGGGTCCAGTCACTCGTGCATCTAAGGGTTAATGAGTAGTCTTGTTGCATTGTGCTGCAACTAGGCACTTAAAAACAAACTAAGAAACCCTGAATCCCAAAGCTATATTTCAAGAGCTATTAAGATTAAGTCGTAATGTCAAAACAACATGGACGCTAAGAGGATGTGTCGTATTTTATTGCTTGGAGTGAACAAAGAATATAAATCTGTGTCTGAGCTGTTGTTCAAATTAACGGGGGATGAATTTTCCCAGTTAGGATGTCGTTTTTCCTGAGAATTCCCTTATCACATAATTTGTGCTCTGATGATTTGGACAAGTCCTGTTTCTCACTTGAGGCCAGGAAAAGGCTAGTCACTGTGACCTTTTTACCTGTACTGGACTATGGTGATCTGATCTATATGAATGCACCTGCCCATTACCAGATCAAGTTAGATGGCGCCTATCACAGTGCACTGAGATGTGTGACAAACTGTAAAGTATTAACCCATCACTGTACCCTGAGTGCAAGGGCAGGTTTGCCTTCACTAACTGTACGGAGGCTCAGTCACTGGTACATTTTTATATACAAAGCCATGTTAGGGAAACTTCCATCCTACATCTGCTCCCTGATCTCACGGCAAATTGTAAGTGGCTACTGCCTGAGATCGCATGCTTTGGTTTTATTAAATGTGCCAACTGGTAGGACTGTCTTTGGGAAGATAGCTTTTAGATGCGCAGCTCCGCTAACATGGAACAGTCTGCAAAAGGAATGGAAGCTGAGCAATTTGGTTCCACTAAATGTTTTTAAAGCAAGGATAGATGCTATCCAATCGGAAACTGTTGGAACCTGTAAATGTTACTAGCTATGTAAACTGTAGTCGCTGCAAATATGCTGTATGATGTCCTTTTTGTTTCTCTGTTATGTTTATATGTATTCATGTGGAACCTACTTGCAGCAGGTCACCCTTGAAAAAGAGATCAATGATCTCAATGGGATTCACCTGCATAAATAAAGGTTTGAAATTAAATTAAATGAAGCTCCAAAGCTAGAACATGCTAAACCTTATAATAAATTTTTTTCCACAGACAAACCAAATTACACACAGAAAAACTGAGCTGAAAAAATAACCTGTGTGGCGAAAGTCAAAAATAAAAAAATAAAAAGACCCCATAAAGTCCTCTGGAGGACCCCGCAAATGATGGATTTATGACTACAAAAGCAACCTATTAACATCCACTTTGTGAAATTAACATGTAAATTGGATTAGATTGCATCACTGATGGCTGCTTCATAAGCAAAGGATAAACTATTCCACAGTAAAGCTGTGCACTACTAGATAGCAAGCTTTATTTCCCCTGCTGTATATTCACGTTGTGTTGTTCTGTCCTTCAGCTCTCCTTGTCAGAACGGAGGCTCATGTAGGGATCCCGATGGCTCAGCTGGTTCCTCTTCCTGTTTATGTCCCCCTGGATTTTCCGGAGACTTCTGTGAGATCAGCATTGACAGCTGCCAGCCTAACCCTTGTCTCAATGGTGGAAACTGCACAAACCACGACCTGGCCTTCACATGCATCTGTCCGCTTGGCTTCACTGGGTTCACTTGTAATGACACCAACAGTCTCTCGCCATGCGCTGGCAGACCCTGCGCCAACCGGGGCACGTGTGTTGGACAACCTGACGGATACTTCCGGTGCAATTGCCATAAATGGTTTGCAGGTCCCACATGCTCCCTGCAGCACAGACCCAAGGCCAGGTCCAAGCCGGTGGGCCCCAGGCCTGTGGACCACAGAGTGTTTGCGCTCACTCCGCAGCACTACTCCCTCCCTGCTCACACCTTCCACAAGCTTCTACGGCCGCCCGAGAGAGACCTGCTGAAGATCACCCTGAAGGAGACAGTCCACTCCCCCGGGCTGCTGGTCACTCACGGTCAGCTGGTCTGCTTCGGAATGCTGGCCCTGCTCACCTGCCTGGTCATCCTGGGCACCACAGGCATCGTGTTTTTTGGCCGCTGTGAGGCCTGGCTGGCCAACGCCAAGTACAGCCAGCTCGTTCGGCAGCAGAGGGAACACCTGCTGAGAGAAGCAGGTGGCGCGAGCCAGGAGGAGCCGGAACACTCCGTGAACATCATCCTGCCGGAGAAGATTAGACTCACCAGCTTTGGGAGACACTACACCTCCATCTGATCAAATCAAGTGTGCCTCTTCCCGTCTCCCTCTGGAAGGAGTTCAAGATGAATGTCTGAAAAAGGCACGGAGGAAATACTATGACTGTTGTACAGTTGTGTTTTTAAAGTGAGAGATACTGTACTACACCAGGATATTTGAATGTATAGTTTGCTGGACGAAGTGGACAGCCACGACACTGGATTGTAAAATTTGTTTTTAATTGTACTGTTGAAAACTACAGATTAGAAATGTACGAAATGTGAAACGATGTTCTACCTTGATAGCTGGTAAAATGGATGGATGTCGTCGTCAGGTGTTTAAGATTTTGACTTCACAATCCTGGTTTAACTTCTTTGAACCAGGATGATTTGGAATATCATTATGGGGTTAATATTACACAATTAGACTTTGATTTGATTTTAACAGAGCACACAGAGCACTTTTCTTTCAGTATTAGACATTTGACCAAGTAATCATTGATATTTAATTTGTAAACAAATTGTATCTTTCACTGATTTTACAACCCTGAATCAACCTAACCCAACCTAACATTTTGATAATGTATTTATCATTTTAGTCAATATTTCTCTTAAAAGTGTCAATCTACAGGTTATTTGATTGTAAATTGAGTATAAAAAAAACAAGCTATCGATATAGATAACATTAGGCCGTGCAATATTTTAACATCTGTTTTTAACTATTTTATGACAAGTAAATAATCAGCCCTGAATATCGCCATGCAGAGTAATGTGAATTTATCATTTTATAATTAAGGCAAAATCAGTAGTTTTGATTTTTAAAGTATTAGCATTTAAATTGTGTATTTATAAAATATCACAGGCTACCCAAAGAGCTGTACTTTTAGATCCTGCAGGTAGTAACTCTGCAGAGCTAGATATTTTTCCTGTGAAGGGTAAACATTGTACAGTATGTTCCTCTAGTAAATGAACTTCCCATATACCATCCAATTCTCTCTGCAGGTGTATTACTTTAGATGTTGGTGTCAAAGTTATATAGTCGATGTCATTTCACAGTTCCTTGAGATCTGCCACTTTCTTTTTCGATCATCCTTTCGTATCCATGCCGTGAATATCCTTACACCTTCACCTATCGATCACACTCAAACTCATTTGCAGTGTCTCAGAGGTGGGAGGCTTTTTTTCTTTTTACCACCAGTGTGGGAATTTCACAGCCTATGTACCATTCATCTCTAAGCCCAGATATCAATACTGTCACATATGTTAAATGATATTGGTTTGTCGTCTCATGCATGAGATGGAAACCGTCTCTTGAGGGCGAAGTGATTTCATGAATACTAAAATACTGGAAAACCGAAAAAAACACATCTATGTACCCAGTAAAGATAGAGATGAACATGTGGGACATATTTAATGTAAAATGCTCAATTAATTAACTGATTACAAGTGGGAGATATTCATTACTCTGACAATGATGAATGAAATCCAGCTTGTTTTATCCATCACAATTCTCCAAAAAGTGGTTATCTTAATAATAGAGTGGTGCAGTGACGAGTCCTAAAACCTGGAAGTGAGTTAGCATTTTACCACTACCGGTTCCCTCGTCTCAGAGGCCGTTTCTCAATGTCGAGTATACCTGCTGCAGAGCCACTATTTCAAGTATACTACGTCATCGAGTGGCGCCGAATGCTGGGCATTTAACATGCATTTAAACAGTCCTTCGGCGCCACTCAATGACGTAGTATACTCGAAATAGTGGCTCTGCAGCAGGTTTACTCGACTTTGAGAAACAGCCACGGTCAATAGAGAGCCGAAGTCCCTCCATTTCCGGTGGAACTCCATGGGAACTTATTTCGGAAAAATTATGTATTGAAGTCAATGGCGAGAGAAAAGTTATCTTTCGATCCCGTTTGAATTGTGCCATGAATTACACATATGATGTTTGTCCATTTAA